ATAATAGTATATCCGACCCCATATATGCAACTGTAAATAAACCAGATAATACACCTCTGTCACCAGGAATATCTCGAATGTCTACAATAGATAGAAGAAGTTTTAAATGCGTCAAAGTAAGTAAATTTTTATTCTTTGTCTTTATATTGTGGTTGGAAATCTCAATTGAGGACCCTAGAAGTAAAGGGGTATAAGTGACAAAAAGTAAATTTTGAGTAAATGCTGTTCAAAGTTGAGTCTTCACTGTAATTGCCATGATTATTTAATGCTAGTTTTTCTTTTCCAGCTTAGTAACTGTAGGCATTATTATTATTATTGGTAACAAAAATCATAATTTTTTGACTTTACTCATTTTGGGGCTATTTTTACGTTGCTAAGTAGCACTTGTACCCTTTTACTTCTAAGAAATGCAACATAAGGTAACAAATGAAGACTACAGGGAAAACGCTGTAAGTCAATTTTTTAAATTTTTGGAAAACGCGATTTTTGGATTCAAAACTTCATAATTCATAAATAAACATGCTAAACCACTATTGTATTGAGTATTTGACAACTCATATATACAGAGTATGATATTATAAAATTGAAATTGTCATGTACAGTAGGTAACGAGAGAAATTAAAAAAAAACAACCAAAGGTCTGGAGGAAAAAGGCAAAAACGCTGTAATTGACAAAATAATATAATATGAATTCAACGAAAGAAAAAAATAAGCAGAACTAGACTTGTTTAACTTAACTAAAGCTAAAAACATTAATATTATCTGTTAAATGAATCAATAACATTGTAAAATTCTTAAGATAAAAAATAAGTCATGTTTTTTTAGCTGATCAAAATACATTCTTCCTTTTTCTGAACAAATTTTTTTTAAAACTTGGAGATCTTTGTATTTTGCCATTGGAATGGGCAGTGACTCAGTATAGGATCGAGAAGGAAAAACGAATTCTTTTCCAGTATACGGTGGTTCCCTACCAGTCACTTTTTTGTTAATGACAGCCGAAACCATTGTTCCATTGTAGGTGTCTCTGAAATAAATTAGTCTGGGATGTTGCTTTGAAATGCTTAATTCTCTTATTGGTCTAGTTTTAAAAGGTGCTTTTGTAACATACATAGGTGCAAGAAAAGTGTCCCAGCTACGCACCAAGTAGTTATCAACCACTTCTACTTTATAAGACACAGGTTTTTGACGAGCCAATCGTAACACTGCTTTCCAATCTTCTGGGTTTTCTGCTGCACTTTTTTGATTAACGATATCAAAATCTTTATCCGTCTCCATCTAACGACGTATCACGTCGTATCTCGTGGTTGAAAAATCTCCGACAATGGTTTGGGATGACCTCAGCGGAGCTGTTTCGCAGAGCAGTCAACAAAACCATGCTGGCCTTGATGATCGCCAACATCCGGACCGGATAAGGCACTGAAGAAGAAGTCTTAATTCACGTAGGTTATTGTGTTGATCATTATTTTCCTTTCCTTAAAACACTTCAGTCAGGTATCTTACCCATTCGTTTGCTGGTATGATATTGTATTCCTTCAATTCTGCCATTTCTTTCCGTTGGTTTCTTATGAATCTCCATATTTTTGTGTACCGTAGAAGGCGCTTTCCATCCTTTTTGTAAACTATTCCCAGTGTTCATTTTTTGTTGTTCTTACCAACTGCATTGTTTCATTTCGTATTCTTCTATAAGTGTCTCGGGACTTTATGCCTTACAATAAATACCGACTTCTACAGTTGATTATACAAGACAAGAGAGACATTGAACGCAGACGTATATTCTGACTGGCCAATCTTGTGGTTGCCAAAATCACAAGAAGATAGGCACCTCTCAAAGAAGAAGAAGAAGGAAAAAACATATTGATTCTGTATTTTTATTATATTTTATTAAAAGTGTTTTTTTTTTGTTTTAGAGAAATCTGCTTAACATTATTGAACAAGTTAATAATAGATCCTTGACCAAGGATCCTGATCTCAAATCGTTTTATAATATGGTTTATAATATACGAAGTAAGTCCTAAATACCTTTTGTAATAATTATTATGTTCTTAACTTTTTATTATTTTTTAGAACAGTATAAGTACAATGATCCAGATACGAATATGGGACTTGTAATAAGTCCTATGGTAAATTATGAATACAGTGATGGATTAAGTATTAAGTTGCAAGTACATCCAGATTTTGAAGGAGCTGATTTTAATCAAGCTATTAGTTTCACCTGTGATGGTAATTATAAGTAGATATTTAAATTAATATATTATAACAAATGCATAATTATGTAAGCTCATTTGTCTGAAGTACACTCTGGACCAAAATTAACCCGGCCACCTTAAAAATGGGTAATTTTTGATTTCTTATATATAATAACGGATTGATACGGCTGTCGCCGCTTCTCCGCCCCCAATTTCCATCTTTTTCTGTCATATGCAGTTGCCTCTTCTAAGTCTCTTGCCGCCATTGCTTCATCAATATCGTTGCGCCAACTTCTCCGTGGTCGTCCTCTCTTTCTTCTTTCAGGAGGGATCCATTCCAGTACTCTTTTAGGCCATCTGTACTCTGGCATTCTTTTAACATGTCCGAACCAGATTAATTGTTTTCTTTCTATGTCATCATTGATATTTCGCTCCATTTTCATTTCGTTTCTTATTTGTTCGTTCCTAACTCTTTCTAGTTTCGATCTACCGCAGCTTCGTCGATAATCCATTTCTGTCGTCATAAGTTTGTTTTTATTAGCTTTGGTGACGTCCCATACTTCCGAACCGTAAAGTGTAATACTTTGGACTATACTACCGTAAATGTGTTTTTTGGTTTCTCGTCGAATTGTTTTTTGCCAGAGAAGAGAGTTTAAGGCACGGGTCGCTGCTCTACCCTCGTTTATTCTTTCCCTGATTTCATCTGCGCTGTTTCCCTTCTTGTTGAAAATGACCCCCAAATATTTGCAGGATTGTACGCCTTTGATTTTGTCGTCTTCCAAGACTAGGTCACATATTTCATCTGTTCCCACTGATAGATATTCACATTTTGTCATATTCATGTTTAGACCTGCCACCATCATATTCTTCTTGCAGTTTTCTTACCATATAGCTAAGATCGTAGCTATCTTCGGCAATTACTATCTGGTCATCCGCAAAGAAAAGTATATATAGCGTGTTTTCTTCCACCGTTATTGATATATATTTTTGATTTCTTATATCTCCTAAACCTGTTGTCCGATTTAAGTGATTTTTTTAATATGTTATAGCCTTATTCCTTGACAATATCTTTATAATAATATTGTTGCTAAACAGGTAAATTTTCATTGTATACCGGGTGTACGAATCAAACTGTGTTTTTTTTCTTAAGTTTGCATCACCCTGTGGAATATTCTAGCATTTGTAGAATACTGAAATTAAATCGTAACTATAGCCTCATGCTTTCTCAACATTTTGTTTTTTGATTGATTCGCTTATGTTGGATAATACAAAAGTTAGGTGCTTTAACAACTAGACATGTTTTTTATCAATTTTTATCTCCGCGGAAGAGAAAAAATAATCTTTTTGAAAAAAAGTCATTTGTTACAGTAAAAATCCAATGAATAAAATCTTCGAAGAAAATTCAAATTAACAATATTTTGGAAATCAAAGTCCAATTGAAAAAAAATTGGGTATCAATAATGGGTGTTGTTGCCTTCGGTTTGGCAATCCATTCATGATATCCTGGTTATCAGATTGGTGATATTGTGCTACTCCTCTACCGCAGCTGTGTTCAGCTATTCAAAGGATGCAGTTAGCATATTCTCGCGCAAAATGAATCATAGCCCTACGGTGTTGTGGGAGCAGTTGTGATGCGCGAGCTGAACGAAAAGCCTTCAAGTTTATTTCTGACAGTCTTATTCTAATATGATGGATATAGTATACATGATATGATAAAATTGTTTTATCAAAATAGATGTTCTGTTTGGGCAAACGTTCCGCCGTACTTCGGCCATGTTACGGTCGCTTTAATCGTTATATCGAGCAGTAAACAATCAACCAACACCCGTAAGTCGACGAAACGCGAAACCTCGCCGCTCTCCGTGGTAGTATGCAGAAGGATTCGGGGCAGTCGATTTTACGTCGCTCACAAAAACTCGGCCTTTCAGAGACCGCTATTTGGCGAATTTTGCGTCGTAGCTTTTGCCAAGACTTGAAGGTAAATGACTATAGAGAACGACATCTTAGCTGAATGATCTCTCGAGCAGTTGGAAACAGACCCTAATTGTCATCGAAAATGAGGTCCATTTTTGGCTGCCTTTTCCAAGACAATATTAAATACGAGGCAAGCCAAGGCATCCCTTTGTCTGAGCGTATCATTTATCTCAAAGGATTGAGAATTTTCTTCCTGTGTCCTAACGCTGGCTTTTAAGTTAAACATTGTCATTTTCATTAATCGATAAGTTTTTCTGATATACAAAACTCACGCATTGTAGTACTGTAGTACTGTTCTCATTGTCTTATTGAATGAATCTGGTCAATTGTTGCGTCGCCACCACTTGTAGAGCTACAAGCACTACAAATTTGATCAGTTTTAATGGCTTGGGCAACTTCTTCAGTGATGGGGTGTCTTTCGTTTGGGTTGAATAGATTCCAATCATTTCTATCTGCTATTTCTTCGATATAATGGCCGTTAAAAATTCAACCCATCGGTTCAAGATTGGGGCCGTATCACTTAATATATTTTCTTCTCCATTCTTACAGCTCCCTGTTCTTGGCTTAAACTCAACTTATTTTGTGCGCTCTAAATGGTCTAAGAAATTTATAAGACGGTAAAAAAATAGTCTAGGCGGTAAAACCATGCTACGTCTTCCTTTTCCTACAGCTATTTCAATATAACGTCCCTAATTCTGTTTTTTTTTTAATTCGACGTGTATCCAAAACAACGAAATACGTTGTTTCATTATTTCACCTTGAAATAGGTGGATGTGACTTCCGTATCTATATTTATTTATTTACTTACTTATATTTAATTTACTTTAATTTGCTGTTTTAGTTAATTCAAGTGTAGAACACGTAACGATGCAATTAACCTATGGCCTTGACGCCCCTGCAACCACTCAGTACACATTAAAAGTATGGGGCAGCAATGAGTATTTAGTGCCTACGACATTCCTTAGTGACTACGAGTACGTGCATGACTGTATCAAGTTGGACGAAGACGTCATTTTAATTTTGATTCCGGATTCCAAAAAGGACAAATCATTTGCACGAACGGTAATATTTTAGTTTTAGATTATAATTAAATTTGGAATTTGATAGACCCAAGTTATATCTATTCTCTGATATTAGGTTTAATATGAGTATATTATGGCTCATCCATAGCTTAAAGTTGTCCTTTCAGCTCAGCCTTTTTAACAAAGTCTATGGTGACACTTCTAGGAAGTCATAAGGTTCGAGTCGATAATGCCCGACTTAACCCTATCCTATCCAACCCTGTCGGTTGCACAGACCGTGTTTCGCCGTCTCCTCACCAGCCTGGTAATTCATTGATTCATCAATTCATTCTTCTTTATATCTAGTAGATTTTTAGATCTCTTCTTCGAAGGTTCATGTATAAAAGCCTTGCAATGTTTATGACCCATTTGTTCGTACCAGTGGTTACATTTCATCTGTTCCATCCAGTCCGATATCGTTCTTTTGGCTATACTTCTTGCTATTCAGGTTCTGGGTCTATCAATGTTTCCTTTGGTCCTTGCCTGGCAAGTAGATCCGCTTTTTCGTTCACTTCAATACCAGTATGTCCAGGCACCCAGAGTATACTTAGTTTGTTACTTTTTCCGATCTGAGTCAGATTCTGATGACAGTTCCAAACTAACTTGTAGTCAATTCGATTCAACGCCAGTGCCTTTAATGCCGCCTGGCTATCCGATATATTTTTTATAGATCTGCCTTGCAGTTCCTCTTTATTAATTCCTGTAGGCACATCTTTATAGCATGAATTTCTGCTTGGAAGATAGTGGAGTGAGTACCTAGGTTTTCACGAAAGCTTACTCTCTATATACTCCACCTCCAATCCTTCATCTACAATCCTTCATCGCTTTTACATTGATCTGCCAGCATGATCTGTGATTATAAGATTCTTCTAATTCAACTCGCATTCGGCCCTTCCTGAAAAGATTACTGTTAACGGCTTTTCGAAATTATGTATAGGTTGCATTGCATCTAATACCATTTACACCTATGGATGATTTTTTATTATCCTTCCAGATTTGATCACCGTATCCTTTCGCTCTGCTTTCTGGCGGCGTCATATCCGCATTCTGTATGTTTCTTTCGTCAACTCCTCCATCCATATATGTAATGGAAGAAGGCACAATATATCTATGACTTCCATAGAGACGGATGGATAGTAAACACCACCCCTGTTATTATTAAGCATGCTTGTTGTTGAAACCTGTTCAGCTTCTTCTATATCACCAAACCACCATATCCAGTAATACTAGATCTAGAATCATATATAATCAGTACATCTGATTGGGTTCCATATCCCATGATTTCCCACATATTCTTCGACATGATCCAAAGAGAAAGCTTCGCTTACATGGAAAGAGCATTCCGTGTAAGCTGGTTATTTGCCGCTTTGACAGTTTCTCCACACCGAGTGAGCATCCAAATGTGATCTAGATTCCGTCTCCTATTGAAACTATTGAAACTGACGACTACTATTTTGATGCGATTGGCAGAGTTTTTCGCTGTCGCACCACCTTGTAAGAATATTTAATGTACGTTGGAGTGTGCTGGATAAAACATTTCCGTATTTTCTTCTTACGATAATTACTAGATTATCCGCATAGGCCTGCATTTCTGCCTCCTGTGCGTCAAGAAGCAGTATCAGGTCAAACACCAGGAGTGACCACAGGAGTGGGAAAGCACTCCCTCCTGTGAGCATCTCCTATCCTTGCAGGTCTGTTAGAATCAACGCATTTTCTAGCTTTGTTTTGATCCAGTTGCATACAATAGTGGCTATCTCTTTTGATGCTTCTGATCATAAAGAGCATTTAGTAGTACATTTTGTATTTTATGCAGCGGGTCAGTGCAATTTTGTAGCTAGTGTTTAGTGTTCTTTTTGTGTTTAATTTTAATGTGAAGTTTAAATTTAATTTATATTTGTTAGGTTGCAGATGATAACGATGACGAAACATTGAAGTTCGAAAACATAATTCCAAATGATTCCAATGTCCGTATTACTTACGAAAAGTTGAATATATTACTTGGTATGTATTAATTTATAACTCCCTCGCTAATATAAATTCTCCATTTTTGATTAAAGAAAAGTATCATAATATGCCTTGTAAATTTGAATAAACATTTAAATTATGTCCTGAAGTAGGCGTTTTATTACATTACATTTAAAATAAGCAGTTAAAATCAGTTAAGAACTTCATATTTTATAAAGGTGTTTCCAATCTAATGGGTCACGATTTATAACAAATTCAACGACATTCTACTCTCCTTTTGGATTTGAACAAATTGTATTCTTCACTACAAATCTCTTCTCTTTGTCAACCATTTTCCATCCACTCCTGAATGTAGGTCTCTTCCAATTGCTTCCATCTTTCTCTATCTTGCGCCAATCTAATCCACTGTTTGCTTGTCACTGCTCTTATGTCATCTACCCATCTTTTTTGAGGTCTTCCCATGCTTCTTGTTGTCGTCGTCCACTCGCCGTGACCGGCCCATCGCCATTTCATTTTTGCAATTTTTTCCACAATATCCCTAATCTTCGTTCTACGTCTTATCTCGGTGTTTCTAATCTTGTCTCTCAGTGATATTCCAAGCACGATTCATTCCATTGCTCTTAGCGTTGTTTCTAATTTTTTAGCAGATTTTTTTTTGGTAAGGGCTACTGTCTCCAAGCCGTAGGTACAAACTGGTAGTATGCATATGTTATACACGTTTTCTTTAAATTTACAGGAATGTAGATTCAAGATATATGCTAGTTTGCCGAAAGCGCCCCATGCCAGTTGTGTTCTTCTTTTAATTTCGGCATCTTGATTTTGATTTACTACAAATAATTTTTCAGTTTTCCTATATTGGAGCACATGCTTTGAAACTTTAATATCTGATAATAGATTTCCAGGCCATTTTGTCGAGAATATTTTTTTGTGGCATGTAAGATAAGCTTTTTCTCCATTTGTATAAAACTTTTTGAGATATACTGTATATGTAATCGTTTTGAGTACAAATTTAACATGAAGTATTAATGCACAGTATTTTATTTTTTACTTAAGATAATTATTTGGGTGTGGTGTTATAAATATTATTTTGCATTGTAGAAACTGTAGAAAACGAAATGAGAAAATTAGAAGATGCCTCTGTACAAGTAGAAAAAAATACTACCCCGTCTGTGATGCCTGGTATTCAGCCTTTAAACGTAATTCAATCAGTAAAATATATCGTTAATTTAATGGGAGATTTGTGTACTTTAGATATTATGAATACGATAGAAGCTTTAGAAGAAACATGTAGGAATTTTTTACCCTCAAATGTAAGTTTTCTAGAATATGGCAGTAAGTTTATTTATTTATTTATTTATGTTTTACTGACAATATTCGTTATGTTTTATTTAAATAAATTAGACATTTTTCAGCCTAGTTTTTCCTATACTATATGCACTCTAGCCTAGATGGCGTAAGATTTCTAATTTGCAAGAAATATGCACATAAAGTAGAGCAATTTGTAGGAATATCTGAAAGAATTGCAATGATTAGGTTCAATGTAAACGAGAACATCTCCCTGAAAATTATTGAACTATAGATACGCTCCGACCGCAGCACATCCGGATGAAGAGATAGACGAATTTTATGAGAAAATTGCAGAAACTAGCACGAATTATCACAGCACGTATACGATGATAATATGAGACTTCAGTGCTAAGATCGGACAACGACTTAAAAAAAACCGAAAACTATATAGGACAATTCGGCTCTGGAGTTAGAAATGAGAGAGGAGAAACCTTGGTTAACTTCCTACAAGCCCACAAATACTATGCAATGAACACCTATAAAAAACCTCAAAGAAAGTGACGTTGCTATCCCCAGACGGAAAAACTCAGAACGAAATAGATTACATACTGTGTAACAAAAGAGATATCATACAGAACGTAACAGTAATAAATACGGCGTCAGTAAGTAGCGATCACCGAATGGTTAGAGCCAAATTAGAGATAAAACATAATAAAAATAGAAATAAATTTAGAAAAATTTGGAATATAGACACAGATAAACTAAAATCTAATACAGAACAATATAAAAGCAAGTTAAAACCGGCGAAAGTATTAAATCTAGATAAACTTAGCTTAAATGAAATCAATGAAGTCATAACAAAAGAATTATTAAATGCAAGCTCAGAAGTGGCAACCGCTAACAGAAAACAAAATCCAAAATAAGTGTAGAATCAAAAAACATGCTGAAACAAAGAAAATATCTTCTGAGACAAAACAAAAGAGACACTGCAGAATTTAGGGAACTCAATCGAGTAATAAGAACAGATAAAAGATGACGTTAAAAAACATCAAGAAGACCGTATAAAACAAATCATAGAAAAAAAAACCGAAGTCTCGAATGCACCAAACCGAAACTAGAAAAGAGAAACATAATAACCATTAAAAATGAACAAGGACAACTAGAAAAAAGTAAATCTGATATTGCACACTCAATTGACAAGTTCTATGCCGATCTGTACCGTTCCAGAAACGATCCCCCTAACTCCTCAAAGCAGAACTTAAAAGGCAGATAACAAATGTCAACTCAGAAGTAATGCCCGAAATAAGCCACGAAGAAATAGATAGAACAGTAAAAGAAGTAAAAAGAAATAAAGCTCCTGGAAGCAGTGGAATCCTAGCAGAAATGCTGAAGGAAGGCGGAGAAAAAGCCGTCACATATTTAAAAATACTATTTAATAAATGTCTATTCCAAGGCAACATAATCCTACTAGAAAATGTAACAATAAAACACGGAAAACATTGTTTTCAAACTTCCACAAAATTTATTTTAAACTCTTATCACTACAGCTATTTCGGCTGATTGCCTTTCTCAAGTGATCTATTTGTGGCAGGTGTTTACAGTTTATAGTCTCTAATGAAATAGGTTGAGGAGGGGAGAACTATTTGTCTCAAGTTGGTCATTCAGAATTATATCGTTGTTTTGTAATTTGTTGATAACTATAGATTCTAACAAGGATAGCTTAAGGCCCTGTATTTTGAATGTGAAGGATTTTAAATTCGTCATTAAAAGAATGATTGTGATCTAGAAGATGAAGTGCGTATGTAGAATCTGTTTTTCTATTATTGAAAGCCCTTTTATGTTCTGCTATTCGTTTATTAAAGTTTCTACCAGTTTGACCGATGTAAATTTTTGGGCAGTCGCCACATTTAAGTTTGTATACACCACTGTGTGTGTTTTTTATTTTGGCTCTTGTTGTTTTTAATATATTTGCCTAGGTTGTTATTTGTTCGGAACGCTGGTGTTATTCCTTTCTTTTTTTATGTGTTTGGCTATTTTTGTTGATATTTTGGCTGTATATGTAATCGAGCAGAAGGTACTGGGTTTTTTCTCTGGTGGAAATACTAATTTCAGGGCTTACTTGTGTGGTTTTTTATTTAACATTTTATTAACTGTTTGTTCGTTGTATCCGTTGTTTACTGCTATTTGCTTCGTGATATTAAATATCATTAAGAAACATCATAAGCAATTAAATTTTAATTATGTCTCAAAGTTGTATTTTGACATCGGAATTTCTGTTAATCTATGTAATATACTATGATAGGCTGCCAGTTTATGTTGTGTTGGATGGGATGATGAATTGTGTATAGTCGTGTCAATATGGGTAGGTTATGAAATATGGAGAAGTCATGTTTGTTTTTAAGTCTGATAATTTTTAAATCTTAAAGAACGTATGGATTAATTTTGTTTTGTTTCTATTGTAACTTCAATATGACTATGAAGTGAATTAATCATATTGAATTTACAATAGAAATAGTCATATTGAATAGTCATAGTTCAGTCATATTGAATTTACAATAGAAACAGAACAAAATCAATCCACGGAATTCCAAGGAATTGGAATTTAGAGGTAATCATGAAAGAATTGGCGAAAAACGGAATGGAAACTACTTAGGTTTACTGGAACTCTTATCAGAATATGATGTCCATATGCCATATGTCCATTTTAGAGCAAATTTAGGTAAGGGCACAACGTCATATCTATCAAAAGATATATGTAACGAATTGCCAAATATTTTATCCAATCGATTCATTGATGAAATTGTTAAGCAAATAAAGACAAACCAATACTATTCTATAAGTGTAGACTTAACACCTGACATAACACACCATGACCAACTTACAGTGATTTTTAGATATTGTAACAATAAAGGGAATCCTGTGGAAATTTCTTGGGATTTTATAAAAATACTGAGCACAGCTCACAAGAACTTGAGGAAACAATTATTGAGATGTTTAGAGTCTTTGAAATTAGATATTAAGAACTGTAGAAGTCAGTCTTATGACAATGCCAGTAATATGAATGGCAAGCAATTGCGACATGTGCTGCTCACTCTTTAAATTTCATTGTCCAAAATGCAGAAGATTGTTGTTTGGAAGCAACATATTTTTATGTTGGTACAAGCTATCTACAATTTTTTCTATGTGTCTACATACAGGTGAGAGTTATTGTCTCGTGCAATAAAGGATTCGCCTGAGTCGGGGCAGACACTGTTACCTAAAAGAGTGAATACAACCCGTTGGTTCTCGTTTTGAAACGTTAAAAAGCAATTACGGTTTGATTAAGATATGTTTGATTAAATTGTCAACGGATATAAATGAGAAAAATGTTAGAGTTTAAGCAACTTCTTCATCGGAAAAACTTGATTTGTTTGAAAACGAAATAATTTTATCATTTTGGCTTGACGTTTTACAAAGGGTTAATAAGGTTAATAAAGCAGTACAAAAGGAAAATATGGATTTAAGCACAACCGCTCATCTGTTATCATCTTTAGCAGATTACTTTAATTTCTTACGTGATGGTTTTGATGAGTACGAGGACTTAGGAATGTTGTTAACTGGGAACGAAAATTATGCTGAGAAGAGGATTATCAAAAAAAAATTGCAATTAGGAGAAAAGAATTCGGATGTAAGTATAAGCCAAAAAAAAATTGTGAACAGAATGTTACTATTGTTCTGAAGCTATTTTCTTGTGGCATTTTAAAGGAATTACTATTTAAATGTATAAGCCACAATTAAAGGTAAAAGTACGTTTTATTGGCGTTTCAATTTCCACTTCTCAAAATTATTTAAAATGATATTGCCAGTATTGTTGAGTTACGCTCCTGGGACGACTTTACTTATAAAATAGTTCATTCGATTACATGAAATTAACTTTAACTTGAGAATATCCGTCAGACAAAATCATAACATGTAATTCGTCTTTAAAAAGACAAACACATGCCATGATGACAGTAAAATTCTCCTGTTAGTGATTGCATAGTAAATTATAAGGGAAAAACCCAGGAAAAAAACCTCATAACAATATCCCGACATGGTAAGTATTTGATCGTATCTTCAATAAACACCAAATTCTGATTTTATACGTTTTTTATTTAAAAAAACATAAATGATGTATCCTCCATATGTTACAAACTTACTAATACTGGTATTTTGTTTTTAATAACTTCCTCTTTCAATATGGGTAACCAGATCCTACTACATTCTACCGAGGAATTTGCGACACAATTGGTCTCATTTAGCATAATTAGAGCCGCTTCTTTGATTTTTCTCTTTTTATCATCCGTTTCTTTTAGGGCTATATTTGAATCATTCCATTGAACCCTATGTTCATTATCCATGCGTGTTTACATATTTGAGATATATCTATTAGAAGAATTAAGAAGTAAGTAACAAAAAACAAAATCTGTTTAATTTACTAATGTTTGCATTTTGAGAACGATTTCCGAAGTGGAAATTGAAACGTCAATAAACGTACTTTAACCGTTAATTTTGGCTTATTCTCATTTAAACAGAATGTTACGTTTTTATAATACACAATCACAGACAATCTTAAGTTGGAGATTATTCGCCGAACTGATAGTTATAAATATTGTTCAAGAGCATTTGAATATTAGGTTAAACTAAAAACTACGGAAGAAAAATATATTTTCATATCGGCAACCGAATTATAGCAAAAATACAAGAAAAATTTGGATGAATATTTTCCCCAAGAATGTGTTGATTTAAAGCATTTGTTAACGTCTCTTCCCCAATTAAAAATAGACACTCCTTTAGAATTGCTACAGGTTTTACACGAAAATAACTTAATATCTTCGTTTCCAAAAGTTAATATTTGCCTGCGTATTTTTTTCTGCATAATGGTCGCAAATGCAAGTGACGAACGGTATCTTTAGACATAAGAAATACATACTTAAGAAATGCAATTTCCTAAGAAAATTTGAACTTCTTAGCAGTTTTATCCATTCACGAGGGCCTGCTAAATGAATTAAATATAAATGATATCATCGAAAACTTCGCTTCAGTGAAAGCAATCAAACAAGTTTTTCAATAGTAAAGGTATTTGATTACCTACCTCATGTTACCTGTATGAATGTTATTAGGTACATTTTTATTTTACTTTTTGAAGTTCGCCCTTAATTTTTTTTGTGTATTTTGTTAGTATTCATTTAAGCTTGAAACCAAAAAAGTTGTAATTGTTTTCCTTATTTTTATAAACTTATATTCAAAATATGTTAGGTTGAATTTAAATTAAGTTAAGAAATATTTTTGAGCCTGGGTGCGACATCCGTATCAGCACCGGGCGGCAGACTGTGTTAAACCGGCACTGCGTCATGTTAAAAAATATAGATTAAACTACAAAAGCTATTAAAGTTGACGAAGTTATAAAATAAAAAAAAATAAAATGTGGACATTTTTTTACATCGCTCTAATCCAAACTAACCAAAGGGAATCACAATGTTTTTCATTTCAAGTATCGATATTGTTTTGTGATGGAGTTATTAAGCAAGTTCATTTAAGTGCACTGATGATGGTCTGATAGGACCGAAAAGGTTTTGAACTATTGTAATCCGTTTTAATTTTTTAATACTAATGTTTATTAAACAAATATACCAATTATATTTACTTCACTGTAAAGTGATTAAAAAAAAGGTTTATCTACTAATACCGAATACTCTTGTTTTACATTTTAAATAAATACAGGTATTATAGCGAGACTATCTCCCTATCAAACTCACTATAAGGTACCATCTAGACTGCCTGAATTATGTTTATATTAAGAAAATAACACATGATTGTTATTATAGCATTACGTTTGTATAATTATATATTTTTGTTTTAGAAAACGACTTTTTCCGAGTTTATTACTAACCATTGTAACAAAATTCGCTTTGCTGTTCAAAATTTGATAGAAATGTACTGCCAAGCATTTTCTGTGGACTTTGAAGTAAAAAGTACTTCTTCTAATGAATGTAAGTTTTATATATTTCATTTAATAAATATTTTTAATGATTCTTGCATGAACTATTTTCTTAATGGTCACGTTTATTATAGTTTTTGTATTCTTAATATGTGTCTTTTTTAGCTATGAGATACGTTCACGATATTATGGACTCAGTAGTTGTGAGGATATGTGCTATATATCGACCTTCATTTGAATGGGAGCATGAGGAATATACTGTCGCTGCTCAAATATATCACGGAACAAAAAAGATCGGTAAATCTTTATGTACTCAACCTACACGCAAATATGACAGAGATAAATATTGGCCTGCGAGAATTGTATTTGATCATTGGTAAGTACATGCAGTAAAATGTCACAGTACATGCCAAACAATATTATTATGCTATTTTCAATTCCAAAACCAGTTGCGCCAAAACAAGAACACATTTGAATTACGTGAAAAGTGCTTACAGTTCTGTAAATATTACTGTACTATGATCTAGACATTCTTAGATTTCTTACAGCCTTTAATCAGGAGCTTAGCTTATTTATGCTGATCCAGTATCTTCTTATAGTGCCGACTCCACTCGTGAAGGTTTGCTATAACCATTGCAAATTCGTCTCTATCTGCTGCTTTTCTTAAAAGCGTCTGTGTGTTCAACCCGGTCCAGTCGCGAATGTTTTTCAGCCTGATATTTGTCGTCTAACCCTTTTTCCGTCGATTCTACCCTTTATAATCAGTTGCAACAACTCGTACTTCTCATTTCTATGTATGTGTCCCAAATATACTGTCTTTCTCCTTTTAATGGTTGTCAAAAGTTCTCTATCTCTTCCCATTATGTGCAAGACCTTTTCGTTCGTAATATGTTCGCTGATCTAATATATTCCTGTTTTCATAGGGAACAAATAGCATATGTAACCAAACTCTACTTCGACATTAAATTGTGTAAAATTGGAATCGATTTAAATAGCCTGGATTGTTAATTCGGATTATTTAGAATGATATTAGCCGTAAGAATTGACTGTATGAAATCATCTTGTGGCATACTATGACGTCAAAATTATCTCTGCAATTTGTTAGCTGGTTTTTTACGATAGCTACATTGAATTTTATAAAAATTAAATGTGATTAAATTTTTGTATTAGTATTATTAGTATTTTTGTAAAGTCTGTATGATTCAGAATCTTGCTTAGTATCGGAACAGATGACGTCACAATAGTTCTGAACTGTTGCCATAGAATCGCTTTTTTTGTGTGTAGATTTGTGTACCTACTACATTGTTGTTGGTCCTAGTGTGATATGCGAGGAGTCACGTGATTTAATTTAACGAATAGAATTCGATGACATAGAAAAAAAATTTGTATTTTGAGGACGATTTTTGAAGTGAAAATCAAAACGTCAAGGGTTAGAATTTCAAACACCAGTAAAGAAAATTAAATGGAATGTACAAAAGCTGAGAGATGCGACAAATGCAAAACGGTACTCGGAAAATATCACCAACAGGCTAAGGAATAAAAATAAAAATGAAGAAGGCCGGACAGATATAGACTCCTGCTGGACCAGAATAAAAGAAGACTTGAAGGAGCAGCGAAAAACGCCATATTGTGCCCAGAAAAATCATTGAATTGATGATGAATGCAGGAATGCAACACAAGAAAAAAATGGAGCCTGAAATTAATTTTAAATTAAAATTCGTGCACTCAGGTATGTACGTAAGCATTATCTTGATGAAACAGGGTTTTTTACAGGAAGTGTTTTTTTTAATTTATTCCCACAACTATTTTCATCTCCTTCGTCATATTAGGAGCCACTTCGCCCTTAAAAATCCACTTTGCCGTGTTCCCTTTGTCTCGGTAGTGAAGTTTCTTTATTTGATTCACAGTTACGTATTGACGCAGAAACTTCCGATGTAAAAACGCCAATACAGACTCAAAATCCACAGATTTTTATCCTACAGGTCCACCCACATCGACTGAGTGGTTTAAAGCATTAGATTCATATTGAATTTTTATCTGATGTCTTTAAAAATTTACTAATCACATCGAAGTGAGTTTGTCAACCAACTGAGCTACGTAGCTAACATTTGTATTTACTCTGATAACATTTCTATCTATATAATAACGATTATTAATTGTTTAATTTCGTTTTCAGTTACTACTTTTTGGTTTATACTAATTTTAAACTGATAATAAATTATACCGATTATAAATCATATTGTATCAATTGTACTATTTGATATTGTATACGTTTTTTAATGTTATAGGTTAGAATTTGAAGATGTGCCAATAAATAGTTTGGCACGCGAATCTCGTTTAGTTGTTCAAATATACGGTAGAACGCTAGTTACGTCAGATAGCGAAGAAACAAAAAACTCAAGCGCTCCAATATATAAAGAGGAAGAGATAGGATGGGCGGCTGTCCAGTTTTTCAATTATGAAAGGTTAGTTTTTCTTTTCTAATACGTAGATATTCAATTTTGTATGAAAGATCTAGAAACGGAAACACGATAAATAAGCCAGAATATGTTAATTTTTAGTCTATTGTAATAATGATATAGGAAAAGCATTATTTGGGAGCAGGTGCGGGTTCGTTTTCATTTTAAGTAGTTAAGGGAGAATAACAAAACATTTTTACTTGACGAAGTCTACGTTTATTCTGATTTGCTAATCGAATGTCAAGTGAATCATTCAGATCACCATAATGCTTACGTAGTAGAAGAGTAGCTATAATAATCGTGCCATTTTAGTTATGGTAAATATTTTTATAATACACAATCTTGACCAAGTAAGCATTAAGGCATATTTTATATTACTTAATCCTAATCTACTATTTACTGAATTTTTCAATAATATCCATGATTTAAAATACTATTCCTCATTAAACTACAGTATATAGTATATGTATCCCATAATTTAAATCTAATAAAAATTTCAAGAAAACGAATGAGAATGATTGTCCTTAAAATAATTTTGCTCCATACTTTCTTTCAGTTCAATGAACCAAGGTAGCATACTTCTATCAATGTGGCCGAAAGAATCAAACTATATCAACGACCATATCTATGGACCATCACCTGCGATGGGCAGTCATCCGGATCCTGAACATTCGTTATAGGAATCGAAATTGTAGCTCCTACCAAAGTTCAATTTCCTTCTATGTCACCGGAATTATACAGTAATGTTACCAAGGGAGATTTTTCAAGTTTAGATAATGAAACGCAGCAGTTGCTTGTGGACGCATGTGATCAAGATTTGCTCTATAGATTTTCGCCAGAAATTCGAGAAGTAAGTTCAAGTTTTTCCTCCTATAAATTAGAATAATAGTTGCGAAAAAAACATTGAAGATTGTATTCATTAAAATATTTAGTTCAACATAAAGACATATACCTACACTATAAAACACATATACAATATGAAAATACATTACAACCTCGGTATAAGGAATCGGAAGGCTCCGAAAAAATATTCGTTATATCGGGAATTTTTCAACGTTATATCGAGGTTAAATGCGATCGATATTCGTTATAATAAAGCTGAATTCAAACGTCTATATAACGAATTTCTCATCACTTTACCTCAGTTTAACAAATAATGATTTACAGAATAACTGCAGACCTGTGTCTTAACTTACAAAGTACGATATCAAAAACAGGGGAAAACCTAAATATTTTTGAGAACAACTTAATTTAGTTGACAAAGTTAAATTCGTGTTGGTAATGCAATATAAAACTAAACAAATAAAAAACTACTTTTACTACTACCCATCGTTATTGAGTACCCTGATTACCGCTGAAAAAGTCAGTAATTTTTTATTGTTTACCTTGTTGTGTTAGGTTATCCATTTCACAATCCAGCACAGTGATAGATTTAACAACACCATCATTTAAAGCATTTTTTTAGAAAATAACACTTTAACACATTGAGGGCATCTCTTGCCTCCTTTGATGTAAAATCTGGTAGACTAACGAGTTCTTCATCCACGTCATCTTCTGCCTCTTCTACTGTTTCTTGCTCCCTGCCACGGAAGACGCGATTTAAGCATCAGTGAGCTCTCCACAGATTGTAACGTCATCATCCAAGTTGACAAACTCTTCAAAATCCAAGTCCACGTTTAAAGCCTCCCCCACTCTCGTCCAACATCCTTCAATTGGTTCTGGTTGTTAAACTTCTGGATTGTCCTCATCTTGGTTTTGGTCACGATCATTCACTTGAAAGCCGCTTTTCTTGAAACAGTTGACAATAGTTTTATCGTTAACATTGTTCCATGCCTTTGTAAATATCCACATAGCATCTAACACACTAATTTTGGTTGGAGATTGGCATTCCAAGTTGTTCAAGAAATGACGGACAACCTCCCTTCTGTACTTGGTTTTTAAATTTTGTATTATTCATTGATCAAGCGGTTGGAGTTTAGACGTTGTGTTTGAAGGCAGGAACTGAACTTTAATGTTTGTTATTACCGGAATATCTTCATGTGCAGTGCAATTGTCGATATATAAAAGAATGTGTTTCTTCTTCTTTTTCATCGCGTTGTTGGTTTGTCTCAGGCAGTCACCGAAGACCTCTCCGGTCATACACGCTTTTTTATTAGCTGTATAGTCTGTTGGTAAGGTTGATACGTTTTTGAAACATCTGGGATTTTTGATTTTCCTATGACGAGAGGTTTCAGTTTGTCTGTACCGGATGAGTTAGTGCAGAGTAAGACTGTCAAACGATCTTTGCTTTTTTTGCCCTCTTTGCAAGGGTCTCCTTTCAACACTAACGTTTTGTCCGGTAGGCACTAGAACCGATCCAACCAGCTATTACTGACTCGAAAGTCTGCGAAACGACGTGTGGACTCTTAATCGGGCTTCGATGTAAATGACTGTAAATGGAGTGTAGTGGTTTCCGATTTAAAATAAAATATAAATAAATTTTTCATGTTCACTTCTTTGATTTCTAATGGTTTATACTGTTTATGGAGAGTAACAAACCCCGTCGATTGTGGCAAGTTTCCAGTAAATAATATGAGATCATCACTACTTCTTACAAGTGATTCTATTGTAGCAGAACAATTGGCTTATTGGAAAATAATGCTTAACTTAACGATGCGTTATGTTAAGCATTATTTTCCAATAACTAGAACTAAAGTATGTATAAATTTATCTACTAATTTTTTAGATTTTGTGGGAGAAGCGCCATTATTTGTATCACCTTCCAACAGCTCTTCCAAAGCTGTTGCTTGCCGCACACAGTTGGGAGTATGTCCAGCTTCCAGATTTACACGGCATGCTACATGCCTGGACCCGACTGAAACCCATACAAGCTTTAGAACTACTTCTGCCAGTATACCCTGATTTGGAGGTAAAACAATTCTTTGTAAAATATTGTCCTTTAAAAAGAAATGAATAAAATTTAACTGTTATAGGTTCGAAGAATGGCTATTCGATGGATTAGAGGCCTTACCAACGATGAATTAGTAGATTACTTACCGCAACTTGTAGTAGCTTTAAGACATGAGACTTATGAAAATTCGCCTTTGGCGCAGTTTTTGTTGGATAGAGCTTTAAGGTCTCCACGATTTGCTCATTATTTATTTTGGTTGCTGTGTCACAGTTTGCCAGGGGATTCACCACAGGTTAGTTTTCATTAAAATTTTTACTTTTTAACGTGAATACTTCTTATCGCTCGGTATAAGGTTTTGCACGGGCCCTAAATCCTATTTAGCGTGACTCAAAAAATCGAGACAGGTATAGATACCTATACATTTATTATAATTTTGTATAATATATTTTTTTATAACAACTCGAGAACGATTTTTTATTTTAAAATATTTGTATGAAATAAAATAAAACAAATTATATAAAATTAAATAAATTTAAATAAAACTAAACACAATTAAATAAAATTATAAATAAAATTAACTAAAATTATAAAAATGTATAAAAAATAATAAACAATTATAGAAAGTTAAGTAAAATTATAGAAAATTAAGTAAAATTATAGAAAATTAAGTAAAATTAAAGAAAATTAAGTAAAATTATAGAAAATTAAGAAAAAGTTAATAAAATTACATTATATTAAAATTAGAATTATAAAAAACATTTGCTTTGTCGATTATAGAAAAGTCTTCGACCGCATCAAACACGGAAAATTGATTGAGGTGCTAAAAGAAGTAGGGTTGGACGGATACGACATAGCTATCACAAATAATACATACTGGAACCACACAGGATGCGTTCGAACAGAGAACGGAAACACCAAGTACATCAACATAGAACGAGGAGTGCGTCAATGGTGAATTTAATGTATATGCCGATGATATAATTAGAGCTTCTCGTGAAGATCGCCCTAAAGGTGCCAGAGTCAATGGAATCATCATTAACAATATAAGATGTGCCGATGACACCGTAGTATTAGCAGAAACAGAAGACCAACTAAAAATATTGATGAACATATTATCAGAAGAAAGTCACAGGCTGGGCTTAGACATTAACTTTTCCAAAACCAAAATTCGGGTATTCCACAAAAACGCCCATGAACAAGTTACACCTAACATACAAATAAATGGTATCACCCTTCAGAGTTCCCAAAGTTTCATATACATGGACAGAGAGCTAAATAGTCAACTAGACCACTTAAAAGAAATTAGAAGACTCATTGAAATAGCAAGATCTGGTTTCATGAATATTCGTAAATGCTCTGTAACCCCAAGCTATCTGTCTCAATAAAATTGAGAACACCAAAGTGTTATGTGTGGTCTCTATTACTATATAGCTGTGTGACCTGGACATTAAAACAGTATGACGTCAAGAAATTAAATTCATTTAAAATTTGGATGTACCACCGAATGTTAAGAATAAGCTGGACCAGCAGAAATAAGAATGAAAAAGTACTGAGAGTAATGAACCACGCCCTCATCTGGTTGTTAATACTATCAAAATTAGAAAGACGTCATATCTAGGACACATAATGCGTCATAGGAAATTTGAGCAGCTCCAGGTAATATTAGAATGCAAGTTTGAAGGTAAGGTTTGAAAGAAAAAATCTTGGTTACGAAACATCAGAGATTGGACCCACACAAGACGAAATGAATTAATTCATCAAGCCCAAAACAGAAAGAAACTTGCCATATTGCTCGTCAACCTCAACAGAGAAGGCACTTAGGAGGAGGATAAAATAAATAAAGTTTAAATAAAATTAAGTAAAATGTAAAATTAAATACAATTAAATAAAATTACATATACTTAAATCAAATTATAAAAAGTTCTAAAAAATTATAAAAATTTAAATAAAATTATAGACAATTATATAGATAATAATTAAAATGTATATCATGAATAAATTCTATAGTATATTTACCAAATTTTAAAAATGGCTAAAATCATTCAACAATATTTTTAAACAGTAAATTAAACAAATTTTGTTTTTTGTTACATAGTGAAAAATTCTTCTAATAATTTAATTTTATCTGACTCGTTTATATTGACAATTCAGACATACATTATGCATTTTAAAGTAGACGACTTTAAAATGATATTGCCAATATTGTTGAGTTGAATAAATTAAAATTTATTCAACTCAACAATCTATAAACAAAATTTTTTTCTAGCAATGGGCTCTAGTTTATCTCCATTCTTAGCCGATATATTTATGGAAGATTTTGAAACAAATATCATTTCTAAACAAAATTTCAAACCCACAGTATGGTGGAGGTATGTAGATGATGTATTCTCAATATGGCCTCATGGATCAGAGTTGTTGGACACATTCCTAAATGATATAAACGATAAAGAAGAGACAATAACATTTACCATGGAAAAGGAATATAATAACACGCTACCTTTCCTGGATGTTTTAATCTCTAAGAACGATACTGGATATGAGACTCAGGTGTATAGAAAACCAACACACACCAATAGATATTTAAATTTCAAATCAAATCACAATATTAATGTAAAAAAGGGAATAATTAAATCCTTATACGATAGAGCCAAAATTACTTGTTCTAATGAAAATTCGTTCTTGGAGGAGAAACATTTGTTAACATCTGTTTTATTAAAAAATGATTATCCTTTATCGTTTATAAATAAGGAATTTTCAACAATCGATCGAATAGAACAGAACAACTTAGAACGAGATCCTACAGCATACACAAGGAATAATATGAGGAAAATAACAATACCGTACATAAAAGGACTATCAGAAAAACTTAAAAGGATAGGAAATAAATTCAACATTTCAACAACATTCAAAACAACAAACACGTTGAGATCTATTTTGTCCAAAACCAAACCTAACAATGAACAAGAAAGGACAAAGAATTGCATTTATAAAATACCTTGTGAATGCGATCAGTTTTATTTAGGTGAATCATCAAGGCCATTAAATGTTAGAATAAGTGAACATCAATCTTATATTAAAAATAAAGAATTTGATAGATCTCAAATCTGTAAACACGCATGGGATAATGAACATAGGGTTCAATGGAATAATTCAAATGTAGTCCTAAAAGAAACGGATGGTAAAAAAAGAAAAATCAAAGAAGCGGCTCTAATTATGCTAAATGAGGCCAATTGTGTCGCAAATTCCTCGGCAGAATGTAGTAGGATCTGGTTACCAATATTGAAAGAGGAAGTTATTAATAAGAAAATACCAGTATTAGTAAGTCAGTAACATATAGAGGATACATCATTTATGTTTTTTAAATAACGTAACATATAAAATCAGAATTTTGATGTTTGTTGAAGGTAAACTAAATTCACGAACAAATACTTACAATGTCGGGATAGTATTATGAGGTTTTTTTCCTGGTTTTTCCCTCATAATTTACTATGGAATCACTAACAGGAGAATTTTACTGTCATCATGTCATGTGTTTGTCTTTTTAAAGACGAATTACATGCTATGATTTTTTTCTGACGGATATTCTCAAGTTAAAGTTGATTTCATGTAATCGAATGAACTATCTTATAAGTAAAGTCGTCCCAGGAGCGCAACTCAACAATATTGGCAATATCATTTTAAAGTCGTCTACTTTAAAATGCATAATGTATGTCTGAATTGTCAATATAAATGAGTCAGATAAAATTAAATTATTAGAAGAATTTTTCACTATGTAACAAAAAACAAAATTTGTTTAATTTACTGTTTGTATTTTGAGAACGATTTCCGAAGTGGAAATTGAAACGTCAATAAAAATATTTTTAAAGAACAAAATTAAGATTTTTTAATCTTAAAGAACTTAAATGTGTAGTATTATGATAAAAAATATTAAGAATTCAGTAATAAGCAGACATAAAATTTCATTAACCTACATATAGTAGTAACACGCTATAAGAAGTATTCACTTCCGTCGGCACTCCCCGGAGTGCCAATATATATACAATAAAAAGTACCTTCATAATATTTATTTTTTAGAACTGTTCGACAGAAGTAAAGGCTAAGGATATAGTTCTAGGAATTAGTGAATTTAGGCATCATAGAAGACTGAAACTATTATTAAGAGCTTTACTAGCTATATGTGGTAGATCATTAGGAGACTGTTTCTTGTATCAACAATCACTAGTAAAGGTCAGAATAAAATTGTATTATTAAGTTATTTTATAAATAGTTTAGGATTGGTAATTCTATCATTCTCAACATTATCTAAATATCTTACATTATACACACATACATAAAACATTTGATAAAACATATTGATAAAAAAGAATAATTACTGCATAGCCTCTTTTTAAAAACTTTTCCAGCTCATCAAATTTACCGACTTTAATTTTGCGATGTGGGTTTGACAGATTGTTTATTGTTCAATACAAAAAATTAGTGATAATTCAGAGTAGGCCTAGGAAAAAACCTTCCTTCTTTGGAATAGTTAATTACTCCCACAGAAGGCATTTAAAACATAAACTAACTTGTTTAGAATTTGTTTACTTTTTTTGAAGGTACAAATTTAAAGAAAGTTAAATCGTCTAAAACACATTTAAGGATTTTTTACTTTTGTAACATATATAGTGGATCTATTTGCCAGAATTGCAATAAAACTCAAACAAATTCATTCAAAGTTAAACCTTATTTGCCTGTGTGAGGTATGTTTTAAATATATTCAAAAAATCTGTACTTAACATATGGACGTGGTGCAAAATGTGTTCCCATTAAAAAGTAGCTATTTAAGAATCGAGAATCACGGTGATGCCATCACTACCAGTGACCAACTTTCAGCTTTAATGTACTTCTTGCAGTCTACTACTTCCGCGAGAGGTAGTAATGGGCAACATACAGGCACCAAAACATGGCGTTCACATCGAAATTGGCTTCACTTTGCGAAGGTTTATTAAATGAGTGTTACCTCTCTTCTCTCTTTCCTTGTCTAATGCTACGTCACTCTCCGATTATTCAAAATTAACTCAAAGTTTTTGATATCAAGTGTTTGACCTCTTTTGCAAATGGAAAATAATGGATTTTTGCTAACCGAAACTCTTACTTCTAGACCGTTTTTTCAACGCTAACATGTCGTAGGCAATCTGTGTTTTGAATTCACATTCGATCCGTATTCTTAAACGTGCAATCCATTTTCTAATGCTATCTTCACTTGATACATTGCGTGAACATATTCCGCATGGTACAAACCATGGAATCACAATTTCGATAATACGACAAGGGCAATGCGTCCTTATGCACTATATGTCACTCCAATGATTACTTTTTGATGGTCCTTTAATTTAGGGAAGCATGTTTCACTGATCATTTAAAGCCATAGCTTTTCCATAAAATATGTTTGCCATGAAAAAGCTTGAGTTGAGTTATTTTTTGTGATATTAATCCTGTATTATCTTGAAAAAGAAGAAGTCTTCCTCTTTTTAGATACATTCTCCTCACTCTACTTTCCTTATAGCCGTCGTACTTTTTGATCTCTGAGTTTGATTACACTAGACTCCACTTGTATTTTTGCTTATCTCAATTTGTATGACATTTCTAAATAAATTATTAATGTTTATTGATAAGAATGATGTATATTTTGTATAACATGCATATTTTTTTTTGTAGAAATTAAACGACATTGCCGAAGAAGTACAAAAAACCAAGGATTCTCATCGTGTTACCGTCCTACACAACGCACTAGGCCAAATTCATAAAGACCTTCAAGAAACACCAACTAGTTTGCCACTTTCGCCGACACTGCGTGTAAAAGGAGTAGACATTCAATCCTGCTCCTATTTTCCTTCTGCTACTTTACCTTTAAAAATTAATTTTCTGATGGAAGACAGTTCGCTGCGAGCCGCTATTTACAAAGTCGGAGATGACTTGCAACAAGATATGCTCACGCTACAAATGATAAGGTTGATGGATAAATTGTGGTTAAGTAAAGGACTGGATTTGAAGATGGTCGCATTCACATGTATACCAACGTCTAGGAGAAAAGGTATTATTTCCTTGTTTTTCGATATCTTTTGTGCAGTTAATTACATCACTTTACTACAAATTCAAAAAGAAACAAGTTATTTTCAAAAATAACACGCTTAATTATACATATTCTTCACTCTGTCAATTCGTTAAATTGTAACCTTTTATTTTCAGGTATGATAGAAATGGTGACTAAAGCTGAAACTTTAAGAAAAATTCAAGTGGAACACGGGCTAACAGGATCTTTTAAAGATAAACCAATAGCAGAGTGGCTAGCCAAACATAATCCATCTGAACTGGAATACGCTAGAGCCATTCAGAATTTCACCGGTAAGCCTTTAACTTTATAATTCTGTCTGTTGTGCAAGATCTCCAAAAAGTGTTCACTTTTAATTATGGGTTAATCATATAAAGCTCCAACTGTCATACTAGAGCCTAACTGTATAAATAGTAATGACTATTGCAATGAAAAGAAATGATAGTTCTTTTCTTGCTAGAGCTAATAATTATATTATTTAACGTCGAGTTTATGGAAAACGTAAAAGTTTCTTCATGTTAAGTTATCTTTGGGCTAGGTCTCTTTAAAGGTTTCATAAAAGGTTGCAAAATATCTGTAACATCTAAAAATCAGTTTTATATCAAACAGTATCAATCAGGTCTAGAGGCAATGTGCACCTCCCTCAGGGAAGAACACTTGCTGATTTGGTTGGTAATTTATGGATCCTGCAGAAAGTTTAATTAGAATTCAAGAATGACTATTCTATTTAAGTTTTCCTTTGACACACCGTTGACGTGGTTATAGAAAATCACCGAATGGTGAATGTTTGAAGCTGAACAAGAAATGCAGGTGGATTCACTTGTGTGATATATGGATGGATCAAGATAGACAACAGAGCTAAAATAGGAGTAACGGAGGACCGTCAAATATGGGTCAATGGGTCTCTTAAAACCGTCCCAACTATCTTTCATACAGAAATATATTTCATAGACGTCTGGCCCTGAAGTGTCTTAGTAAAAATATCGAATAAGCAAGGATCTATAATTTTTCAAATAGCTTTGCCTCTTAAAAGGCTTTCACCTATAAGTCATAGTTGATTTGAGACAGATTTAAGAGAAAAATTTCTTAATAGACTGGCAGCAAACAACAAGGCAACTTTGATGTGGGTGTTCGGCAGTCATACCGGAATCGGGAGAAATCTAGGAGCTAACAAAATATTTACAATCACGATATAACTATCTTAATCCTCCAGGACTAAGGCATGCAAAAATATTTGTAAACAATAGCTTGAAACTTCAAAATGCCTTCTCGAAAGAACAAAAAATATGCAATTGGTAATATGTTTTAATTAAATAATAAAAATAGTTCTATTATGTAATATAAGTAATTACTAAGCAATTAACAAATAATAACAATTTTGCTTTTCTTTAATGGTATTTTTGTGTATTTTTAGCTTCTTGTGCTGGGTACTGTGTGATTACATATATTTTGGGTATATGTGATAGACATAATGACAATATTATGTTGAAAACATCTGGACATCTATTCCACATTGATTTTGGTAAATTTTTGGGAGATGCCCAAATGTTTGGAAATTTTAAAAGGTAATTTAAATTTAATTTTAGAATGAGAAATATGTAGCTATGTAAGTTGTAAATAAAAGCGACTTGATCATTCTTAATCATTTGACGAGATTGTTTTATACAATATTTATCATACTTTTTTTTTCAAACGGTTAAATACAGTTAAAGAAAAAATAAAATTATGATGAACATTTATAAACAATAACAAGATAATAATTTAAAATTTATTTTCTGGAGTGGTCTGTTATAATATGGTCGTGAACAACTGCATTCAATTAATTTTGGAACCTGTACCAGCTTGTACAGCTCCCGTGAATTGGCACCATATGTTTTTGAAGTCACTTGGTAGTCTTTAAAAAGTGCGAGCTGTCTGTGATCTAATGCCCCGCTGTCATGCAATATATGGCAAGATATGACATTTTCAGGTTCTTTGCTACAAGTCTCTATCAAAAATTGAATGCAAGTTCCCCTTGACTAGCGAATGTCCATTAAGGAAGCATGTTATGATTTTGAGCTGATTCCTGCTTGTTTCAGCCAGCAGTACTTCAGCCCTTATAGCACATGGATCCAATACATATTTTGTCATGTGCTTGACCGAGTATACTTTCCCAGTGAGAGTTATGTTGTGTTTGGATTCAGACTTGTTCCGGTATTTTTGGTACTCCTATGGGCGGCTGTGGACCAAAGTATGTTGCTGCTAATCCTCTTCTGGCAAGTGCATCAACTCTTTCAGTGCCATGTATTCTCCGATGTTCTGGCACCCAAACGACACTGTTGTGTTCGTCCAGTATATAGAGTTCTCGGCATTCCTAACTAGCCTAGAAAAACACTTAAAGGCAGATAAATTAATCGAGAAAAAATCATGTGATGACAGATGAGATCCTGAAGTTGATGGAGCAAAGACGAAAAGCCCAAAATGACCCAGACAGATGTAAAACGATAAAGATAATAAGAAGAAAAATTAGAGAAGTGAAAGAAAAAGAAGCAATGGAAAGATACGAAGAAATTGACACAGTTAAAGAACAATAGTCACAATGTACATTGGAATGTTAAATAACTCACAGGTAGACTAAGACGCAGAAAGAAAGGAAATCTAACTGATTTGAAAATGGCAAGTGTGACCTTGTCGAAACGTCGTCAAAACAATGATTTTACCAAAATTGTTCAACTCGGAGTCAAATCCGAAAACCATAGAAAGTATATATTCCGAAAGTATTTTTCGCTTTTGATTCTGTCTTTCTGTAGGTGTCCATTTAGTACTTGTTTCGGGAGTCTATTGTTTTTCATTCGATCCATCCTTAGCGTTCATCTTATTACATCCATTCTACAATCCATTCCAATAGCATACTTTTTACCAGAGTTTCATAGATATTAAAGTTTCTCTTAATCACTGTATCTTTTGCGCAGATCAATAAAATCTATGTGTATTTTTTTATTTACTGTTACTGTTTTTTTCCATGATCTGCTTTAAGCAAAACCCAATATTAATGCAAGACAAGAAAAAGAAATGGGGCACTACAAAAAGGCCGTGAGAATAACTATATTAAACTAATATTTCGCAGTGAGGCATCATGAGGAAATAATTTCACTACACTATTAAGAACCCTTCAATCAATAGATTGGTTCTCGCAAACCTTGCTTTGTGTATATTTTGCGTAAAATATGTACTTTTGTACTATGTAGTCAATTAATATATTTTTGTAATTTTTAGGGATCGAGCTCCTTTTGTTTTGACTTCTGATATGGCTTATGTCATAAATGGTGGCGATAGACCGACTGAAAAATTCCATCAATTTGTGGATTTGTGCTGTCAAGCTTTTAATATTATTAGAAATAACCGAAATTTATTCCTCTTTTTGGTAAGTACTTTTTTTGCTTCTTTTATTCCTATATTTAGATTAATAAATAAACAACAAAGAATGTAAAAACTCATTTTGTGTGACTGTAGATGTTATATTGTCTCCAATATATCTTTTAAATGGCCCTTGAAAGTAAGCAATTACAGTTGTGAAAGTGTTTTATAGAATCTCCACAATACATACTTTAAAGTAAATATTGGGAATATAAAAGAGTAAGAGAGTAACATCGAGATGAGACACTTTTACATAGTTTTGGTAATAAGGCGATTTTATTGTGGGCGGCAGTCAAAAGGTTAAAGTGAAGACTTTGAATAGGATCGAAGCCTACGAGCTGTGGATTCTGTCTAGCCTGCTGCATGTTCTGTGGGCTGCTTTTCTCACAAATGATGAAGTTTTGGGAAGGAGTGACGTAGAAAGACAACTGTTGAATATGGTAAAAAATCGTAAAATATCATACATGGGTCATGTATGGAGGGGACCCCGGTACTCGATACCAAAGTTAATATTACTAGGAAAAATTTTGTGAAATCGAGGGTTTGCTAGAAAACAATATTGCTGGCTACGAAAGGGACTGGTGTGGAGTACACAACGCCTCTACAATATTTAGATAAGCTGAACAGGATATTTTTAACTTAACTATAAAAAAGAATTGGATATTTGATTGTCGACGTGCAGCTTTGCACATGGTATTTGAAGAAGAATAATAATTTAAGACCACTATAACTTACATACCAGTTATGCTTAAAAGTGATAGTAAATTGTGATGGAGTTCAATTTTATATCACTAAGTTGCAGAATTGCACGAAATAATACAACGTTGTGAAATTTTTAATAAATGATGTTAAATGATGATTATCATGAAATTAGTTGTGCATTCAAATATTTTTCGATTAGATATGCCAATAATATCATTTTAATATTACTATAATAGAAACCTCACACATTACGATGGTTTTGTATCTAAAAACCTCCAGTACAATCTGGATGCCCACTGGAGCTAGAGAAATGGAAGGTAAATATTTATACCCGGACCACCTTAGGTTATCATAAATAAGAACCCTATATCTTGAAAATAAACGGATCATGTACAAATGATTCTTAAACTAATTTGTGAATATATCGAATTACGGGACTGTAGCAAGCTATCATGGGACACGTACCGATAGTAGTTTTTTTTTCTCAAGCTGTAATCGCTTTTGTTCCTGTATCGGATAACAGCATAATCAACCCAATAGAACTGGTAATTTAATTCAGGTGTACGCCCCCTCCCCCGCTCTGTTGGTCAAAGATGAAGCTCAAATGGAGGGTTTCTATAATGAGATTTAAAAAAGCACTGAACGGTAATAGCACGTTCAGAAAGCATGCACGATACGATTATTTAGTCGAAACGATATTTTAATCGAATCGAGACATTCACACGGTACCTACGATAATTTCGTCGAAACGAAATGTTATCGAACCAAATATTTTTGGCCCAGAGCCCTAGTTAGTTTGTGGCAATGGTGAATAATGGATGTCAACACCTTTGTTAAGATGTACTGATATTTAAAACTCCGAAACCGTCGAAACCTAAGGTATTTGGAATATCCTATCATCAGGCAAAGATATAAGGCTGTTAAGTCGCAGCTTTTAAATGTTGATCTTTATAATCATCCACGGTTTTATTGTATAAATATGGTCCCGCTTCTTTTAAACGTATCAAAATTTTCACGGCTACTTTATCCATTTCGTACCTACTACACTACATCAAAGACAGTAAACAAGTTCAATAAAATCGAATCGTGTGAAGGAGAATACATAAATACAAACGCCACTGACGTTCGATTCGAATTTTTTACCGTGTCACGGCATATGGTTTGCAATGACAAAATCGAATGGAAATTTGGACGTATCCGGTAAAATTTTCGAGTAAAATATACGATCGAATCGTCTGAACACAATTACAGCGATTACCATACCGATGTGGGATTTAAACGCTAGATTGTAAGTGATAAATTCCAAGATGATATTGTTTGAATTTAGACATTGAATAAAGCTGCGATTTCTTCTGGAAGAAGCCGAATTGAAAACAGAGCGGGAAATTATCTGCGGAATTTTCGGTCGCCGACAGTTGCGGAGGCGCGGTTTCTTAAAAATAAAGATCATTTACTGTGTCTTTTGATACTACCTATACCGAAAGGTCCTGCAAAAACAAAATACCTTTGAACATCTCTTCATACTTTTTTCTTATTATAATGGTCATTAAAGTCTAATGGAAATTTTGCAGAAATTTTTCTTCTGTCCAAATATGACGTGAATTATGAATTGAATGATGGACGAGTTCATATGAAATATTTGGTGCATTAGATACTCGTTTTAGTCCAATTCGAGGGTATGATTAGTACTAGATAAGAATCAATTGGTCCTCGTATGACTTGTAAAACTATAGATTAAGAGTAGGAAAAATAGTTTAACCATAACATGGATATAAACTGTTTTTTCTTGTTCTGTTTCGGAACCGTGATCACTAAATATTTCATTGTCCTCATCAATCTCATCTGACAATATTTCAAGTTCCTCCAACACAGCTTCTCTATCCGGTTCATCCCTGGATATACTTCTGCCAGAATCATTTCTGTTTGAGCCTTCCAAATCCTCCCAAAAATCTTCAGGTTCCAAAATATGTTTGGTCATATTTTCTGATAACCTCTTAGAACAAAATGCCATTGTTTTCAAATATTTATATATATATTATATATATATATATATATATATATATATATATAAATGTTTCATCAAATAGAGAATACATCATAAGAGAATAACAAAGATATTAGCTAATACCTTATAAGGACTAATAAAAACATACATAGCAATAAAAAAATAAATAATTACCTTTCAAAAAGAATAGAAATCTAACTACATTATCTAGTAGACACTTATCAAATTATCAAAACAATACTGAATTACTAGACAGTACCGGCGAAATGATGCACATGGTATTGAAAAAGACTAGGGCAACGAGGAGTATCCAATGTTGCCAAACTTAAAAAGTACACCATAAATAAAAACATGATGGGTCCTCCGGACCCATTAGTAGTAGCTGAGGGTTAAAATAAAAGTAAGCTTACATAAGTTCGCTATTTCAATCAGCAACGAGTGATTTAGAATTTGAAAAGAAATGTGTGTGTACATTTATTACAGCCACTCTATAATTATAATTCTCATTACAATTAATTGTGTTTAATCCCATGTAAAAAATTATGTATTGCAGCCTTTTAATAAGCATGTAATATTTTAATAAATTATTTCAGATTACATCGTCGGGTATATGCAGGATAACTCCAGAATCGATTGCATACATGCATAAAGCGTTATTACCCGAATCGTCTAATCCTGAAGCGGCCGCATACTTTACACGACTTATAGAAGAATCATTAAAAACAAGATTTACACAATTCAACTTTTTCTTACATAATTTAGCACAACTTAAATTTTCTGCGGAGAATAATGAAGGTTCATTATTATCTTTTGTACCAAAAACTTACAGGTAAGTTAATTAGTGTTTAAAAAGAATTAAAGTTATTTTTAAATAATGTGACGTTAAAGTTGTCTTTATTTGTATTGATGTAGATATGAACGGTTCTTCTTCTTAAGGTGCATTTCTACATAGGTGTCCATAGTCTTCTCATTTAAATATGTAGGATGTCACAATTAAATAGTTCTATTTTTGGCAACATTGGGAATCACTTTGTATCTTTGGATTTCATTCATTGGCGAAAGTTGCGCAGTCACGACTAGGCCTCTCTTACAATCCATCTTTGACTTTGTGTATGATGACTTCTCCATGCCCTACTTTACATTTCGTCATCTCTGTCTATTCATCCATGCTATTCTAAATATTCCGTGCAGGAGCAGGTATCACGTTTGGAAATCTTTAAGTTTTTTAATTAAGAACATCTATTCTTCTATTTCATACAACAAAACAGGAAAAATGTAACACTTAAGCATTTTTTATCTCAATATAAATTACAATCTGCAATTAGTCAGAAACTTGCGAAGTTTTAGGAAAGCATTTCTGACTTTTTTCAGTTTTAGAGTTTCAAACGTCTCTTAACAGATAAACCAAATATTTAATTTAGAAGACTTATTGCCTTTTTGTATATCATGATTTTATTAATTTGCACTTGCAATATTTTATGGAGACAAGGAAGTTGAAGATGTTGTTATATACTATTTGACTGCCATACAAACTTTATTGTCGCCTTATGACATAAACAGATAATTTGTATAGTCAGTACTATCAATTGCAAGACAATTCGAAAGGAATTACCCAGATTTTTTTGTGCTTGATATCGGCCCAGTCTCTTAATCTGTGGAATTCCATCCGAATTATCTTGCAACGGATTGTACATAACTAACGATTATTTAATAATTAGTATTATTTTTTTACAGTCTGGCTACTGATGGTCAATTGGTCCACGTAGAAGTAGTTAACTACAGAAAAAGATATGATCCAGATAAATATTATGTGTATATTTTAAGAGTTTACAGAAAAGATCAAAGGCAGCCGATGGAAATTCAAAGGACGTACAAAGAATTTTGCGAGTTGCATCAGAAATTATGTATTTATTTTCCTTTGGCCAAGTTACACAGGTTAGTATTTTATATTTATAGTTTTAAATTATTACCACCTACCGGTTTCATAAAGAATGATGGATAACATTAGGATATTTTGACACTTCTTCGGCCAAAGACCTTTAACATAAAACAAAGATCGGTGTCAATTTTTGGTTGATTTAATATATTGTATCTAGTTAGCAACGCGGCGTTGCCACGACACACACAAGCACAATTTAGGGTTGTATAATTTGTATTTTCGTTTCCACAAACATGAATTAAATTAATGTTTTTTAACGTAATTGACCAAAAGTGCCCATTCGAAACAAGAGATGAAAAGTAGGGAAAATGATTTTAATTAGATAAATAGTATTTACAAAAGATAATTTTATTTTATCTTATTTTAATTATAGTAACGACAGTTTATTTGTTTTTCGGTGAGAATACGATATGCCATGAATCATAGAAATCAGTAGAAAATATTGACCGCTTGGAATGCGTATATCTAATTACTAATTGCAACTTAAAATAATACGATGTGCGTATGTCAGCTATTTTATGTCGTTCTCTGACTACATAATGATAATAAGGCTTTTATTTAGTAGTTATTCTGACTTTACAGTTAAATGTTAATTGAAAATGAAAATTCAAAATTAAGCAAAGGGAATATCTTGGACATCCGTGCAAAAGAGAGTGTCTGAGAGTTTTGGCAACACTGACTCCTAAGCTAGTTTTTTTAGTACTTGAAAATAGGTTTCCACATTAAGGTGTCAGTGATATCGACAAATGTTAAAAATTTATATCCTTTTTATTTACAGTTATCGTCACTATTTTAAAACAAATCTCCAACTTATGATTATGTACGTGAACTGTAAACTTTCTGCTTTAATGATATCTAGTTAAAATTTCCAAAGAAAGCAGTAAATTTTTCATAACTATACTTAAATGAATCTATGTAATAACCTGCTTGGTAACCTGCCTAAAATTTGGTATTGTGTAATAATTTTTGAACTTAGGTATAAAATAACTATGTTAAATAATTAACTATTCAAAAAGCTTTATTTTAAGCAAACATTCATTATCCATACTGCCGTAATTTTTAAGTTAACTGTACATAAAGATAAAATTACAATTAAAATCTGCAAACCAGGGATTTTGTTGACATTATTCTAACAAGTTGTCATTTTGGTAGTGAGAAATTAGTTCGGCTATCACTTAATAGTTGGAAAAATAACTTCACGTCTCATTTAGTTGAAGGCAGTAGTGATGTATTAAATGGCAACAGATGCGCGTTTGCGAATTTAAGAAAAATCTGCAAAACATTGAAAACTAGTTTTGTGGTCATGCCAACTGTTTATGGTGCGGCAACCATGGAAATACGAATCACGTGGTTTTGTTTAGCAAAGCAGTACCTCCCAGTAAATATCTTTGGAATATAAATCGAACTGTTTTAATATTTTTTATACCCTTAATATCAATATTTGTCGATTTTCAGAATACCTTGGCATATTTAAATATTTTATTTGTTAAAAAATTATATACACACAAGATTTCATCCTTGTAATACACGTAAAGTTTGTTTAGCAGAAAATGGTTGACCTCAATTAGTGCGGTCGTAAATATTATTAAATTTATCTGACTTGTCCCATTGTTAAGACCGGTCCGAAGCGATAAGCAAACGAGGTATAATTGACACTGACTAGATGGTACTCCTATAATAAAGCAAAGGATCTAAAAAATTTACAATAATTACGACGAAAAAACAAAAAACGTATGTAAAATATATACCTTTGCCTTATATATCGCTATCCTCATCTAAATTAATTATGATCGGTTCAATTATATTATGATCTACATGAAAATATGAATCTTACTTATTACGTGTCGGACTGAATTTCTCCAACTACTTGGAAGAATATCATTGACACATTTTCTTATTATACTAAAGAAAAATTTGTTTTAAACAAAATTACTTACTATCTATATTTGCTTTGATTTTTCGATTTCGAATGCGGAAATCGTTTTAAAAAAATTCTAAAATAAAATTACGAATTATCTTAACCTGTAAATTTTTATAATTGGCCAAATATAAACATTTACATATGAGTTGTATATTTTAGGTACTTTGTCAAATGCTTTCTTCATGTCGATCAGATATAGGAACGCTGGTCTATTATATTTTAATGAGTTCTCGGTAATTTGTTTTATGACGACTACTGTACGTATACAAGATCCTTTGATATGTTGGTTCATGCAGAATTGTAATTGTGAAAAGTAAAGTAACGTTGTAAAGTTTTAGGATGGCATTTATTAATTTGATACCTTTATAGTTTTCTGGCTGTTTTTTATTGCATTTTTTAACTGCAAGATCAGTTTGGTAGTCCATCATTTTTCTGGTATTGTATCGTGTTTCATAATTTTGTTAATTAATGGCATTAGTTATTACGTCATGGCTGCTTTACAATATTTTAGCAGTGCATTTGGTATTCCATATTTTTCCCCGCAGCTTTTTGAGTAGGTATATCCTAATGTTTTTCAAAACTTAAAATTCCAGAAAAAACTCCAACCTGATTTAAGTATCTCTCATTTTAAAGTCAAAGTTTTTTTAACCAACTGTGATAATGTGTTTTTTTAATTATATAGAGTCGGTTGTTCTGTATATACTCACCACCGCCAAGAATCCCTAATGTATAAGTTAAATCTGCACTGCTATTTTTCAATGCAATTAAGTGTCACGAAGGCACAGTCAGTTTCATATGAATGAGGTCGAAGCGAGGTGCCTGTTAGTTAAAGGTATGCAAAAATTACGCTCGTAATTATCTACGTGTTTAATTGTCAAATTTTCTTTTACGTTTATTTAAACGTTTTGATTTCTACTTCGGATAAAATATTGTAACCTCGGAACCTTTTTTTGGATGGTGCTAGAAAGGTCACCAATGGAGACACTGCGGACGGCAGCCAGATGGTTGGTGGAGAGCGAGTCGTGGATTCGAAACTAGCTTTTGGAACCAGGAATGGGTCGAAATAAGTAAAGATAGGACAGATATATCAGAAAACTTATTAGGAGTCAAGAAATAAAATTAATACATAAAAGAAAAGCAATATATTCAACAACACGATTAAATTTGGATAAATCTGATGATTTTAAATCCGAATGGAAACACAAGTAAAAGAAATGCACCATCAATTATTAAATGGTGGTATACATATAGAAATAAACAGTATTAGAAATAAGAAATACCTTTACAAATACAATAATATAATAAAATCATGCACAGTTTAAATTATCAGCGAAGAGAGCCCGATAGTGATTAAAAATATTCAACTAAAGTTGATTGTAGAAAGCTCTCTTTGCTGTTATGGGTTTATCTCGAGATAACGGGTTAAAAATGTATAACAATTATAACAAATAACAAAATGAATAAATTTAAATTCTAAAGAATACAAAAAGGTGACAAGAATTCTGTATTATAAAAATTAAACCAACCCGCATTTGGTTTTAAGCTAATTTCTATCTCGTACTGTTGTTTAATGACTAACTGTTCTTACTGAGAATTAAATGTTCATAATTATTATTTATTAGAAGTTCTTAATAAAGAAAAGGCCCTCAGTGCCCAGCATTTCCCAGAGTCTTGATCACAGCAGCGATCAAACAACTAACGGAAGGGGGGGAGTGCTAAGAATCCCTGGGTAAGACCCGGCTGCCACAAGATGACAATTTTGCTATAGTACAATATTCGAACACTGACGGACGACAATAGATTCCCAGAAATAGAAAGTGAACTAAAGGATATAAAATGGGATATCCTTGGTATATGCGAGACCAGAAGAAAAAGTGATGAGTATATAATACTAAAAAATGGCACACATTTTATGCATAAAGGTGGCGAATACACTGGAGTAGGATTCTTGGTAAAACAAAGCCTCACACAGTGTATCGAAGAATTCAAGCCCATATCAGACAGAGTAGCATATCTCGTCATCAGGATTAATAAAAGAACCACTCTGAAAGCGATCCAAGTGTACGCTCCGACCAAAATCCACGATGAAGAAGTAGAAATATTTTATGATGAAATAAGAACAGCTATAGAAACAAATAAAGCAAATTACGAAATACTATTAGGAGATTTTAATGCTAAATTGGGCAAAAAAGAGAAAGATTATGAACATTTAATTGGTAACTATGGCTACGGGAAAAGAAACGATAGAGGAGAAACGCTTCTTAATTTCGTGAATGAACATAACATGTATTCAATGAACTACTTTTTCAATAAAAAACCAAGCAGAAAACGGACATGGATGAGCCCCGATAAAAAGACAAAGAATGAAATAGATTATATCTTAACGAAGAATAGAAACCTAGTAGAAGACGTATCAGTATTAAATCAGTTTGACCTAGGAAGCGATCATAGACTAATAAGAACAAAACTAATAATTAACAAAAAACTAGAAAGAAAAAGAATACATGAAAAAAGATACAAATGGACATCTGAAGAAATCAAAAATAGTGAATTTAATAAAAAGATAGTGCATGCATTAAATCAAGTTAGCATGCAGCAGATAAACTCCAATGATATTGACGATTTGAATAACCTTATCACCGAAATAGTGAATTAAAGCCTTCTGCAACTGAAAAAACCAAAAACAACATACTACAATGAATTAGACACAGAAATATTACAACAAATAGAAAGAAGGAAGATCTTAAATAAATCTAACAAAAGGGAACCGACGAATATAGAGAACTTAGTAGGTAGATTAGAAAAGGAATCAGACAACAAAAAAGAAAAGAAAACGAAAAATTAATAACAACAACTATTGAAAAAAATAACAGTATGAAATGGCTCAGACCGACACTAGGACGACGTCAGATGATATCATTAATGGGAAAAGACGAAAATTAAATCACAACTAAAGAAAACATAATGACACTAATAGTATGAATTTTACACAGAACTTTACAGAACACATCAACAAGATGATGAGATGAGACCAGCACGGAAATTAATAAAAAATATTGGATCAGAAATAATGCCAAAAGTAACAATTTCAGAGGTAACTACACTACAGCATTGGAAAACATGAAGAGAAATAAAGCTGCAGGAGAAGATAGTATTACCACAGATATGATATTAGAAGGAGGTAAGGAACTAATTGCAATTGTAACTAAGCTTGTGGACAGTTGCTTACATCAGGGCAGTCCCTAAGAGCTGGAACAACTCTAAAGTAATCTTATTACACAAGAAAGGTGATAGTCGAAAATTGGAAAACTACAGACTTATCAGCCTACTGTCACACCTGTTTAAAATACTCACCAAAGTCATAACTACTCGACTAACAAGTAAATTAGTACGAATACCAACCATATGAACAGGCAGGTTTTAGAAAAGGCTATTCAACTTCCGATCACCTGTTAACCACAAAAATATTAATAGAAAATGTAACGAATACAAGTTTCCAGTTTTCCTAGCATTTGTAGACTACGAAAAAGCTTTCGATGCCATAGAACACACGGCCGTAATAAACGCAATGCAAAATTGTAGAATAGACAGCAGATATTAACTTAATAAAAGAAACTATGAACCAAGCTACAGCTACATACTACCTAAATGAAAATGAACACACGAACCCTGTACCATTAAACAGGGAGTCAAACAGGGAGATACTTTATCACCCAAACTGTTCACCTTAGTTTTGGAGGACGTTTTTAAAAACCTAAATTGGAAATATAAGGGAATAAACATCAATGGCCGCTACCTCAGTAATCTTCGATTTGCAGATGACATAATCCTGATAGCTACTGACCTACAAGAAATGCAAACCATGCTTTTAGAACTACATACCGAATCTTCTAAAATAGGACTGAAAATGAATTTAAACAAAACAAAAGTCATGCACTTCCGAAGACACCGTGACAATAATAAACGATAAAGTTATAGAAAAAGTTGAAGAATATATATACTTAGGACAAAAAATAATACTAAATAGGGAAATTCAAACTGAAGAAATAAAAAGAAGAAGAAAGTTAGCTTGGGCAGCATTCGGTAAACTGAACTATATACCCAGAAATCAACAAATTCAATTACATCTTAGATCTAAAGTTTTTGATGCATGCATTATTCCGATATTAACTTATGCGGCACAAACATGGACAATCACAAAAAAGAATATGAATATACTTAGAGTCACTCAACACGCGATGGAAAGAGCAATGCTAGGTATATCACTTAAGGACAAGAAAACAAACACATGGATAAGACAGAAAACCAAAGTCACCGATGTGGTGCAAAAGTCATTAAAGTTGAAATGGGAATACGCTGGACATGTAGCTAGGAGCGATCTAAACAAATGGCAAAGATCAATTTTAACCTGGAGACCATACCAACACAAAAGACCCAGAGGCAGACCTCCTATGAGATGGACAGATGATCTGAAAAGGACTGCCGGGAAAAATTGGCTACAAGTAGCGTACAATAAAAAACAATGGAAAGGAAGACTTGAAGAGGCTTATGTTCAGATGTGGACGTGAATGTCTAGACGAAGAAGAAGAACAAGAAGTTCTTAATAGCTGATTGAAAGTTCGTATGAAAATATTAAATGTTCCTTGATTGAATGCTAACTTAGTAGTTAACCTTAACTACAGGAGAAGAAATAGTCGACGTAGATTCGCCCAGATAGTTGAAGATAATATGATTATGATAACTTACGATAAATCTTGATGACTGCTACACTACTTCACTGAAGCTAATATACTTTACTAGTTTCAAGTACTGAAGTTGAAAATAAAATAATGGTACTTTATAGTGTATACAAAATGCACAGCGAACTGTAAGATAAGCGAACGTCTTTACTTAAAGATCACCCGACCAGAGTGATATTCCTCCTCTAAAAATTTACCAAACTACTCAAAAAAGGTGTGATATCCCCCACTTAAAAATGACAAGTCAGACTGTATCCATTTCTAGGTAGACAAAAAGGTTTCTAACGAATATAACGAACATAACGGGACCCTTCTAGTTAGGACGGGATGAAAGATAAATCCTTTTGGATTAGGTTCTTACAGAAAATTACTGTAACGTGCTTTCGACGATATTTACCGAACTTATCAAAAATAACCCGCCTGCCACCGGAAAGGATTAGCTAAGCCTTACAATAAAGTATTATATTTCGGCGTGTTTAATAAGCCAGTTCTTCCGTATTTTGAGATAGTCGGTAGATTCCAATGAAATTTCTTAAACACGACCACCCGCGTACATATTTGCAAATACGGCCATCGGCGTCTCAACAACAGGGGTAAAGGGATTAAAAATAATTTATTATTTTAATTATAAAAACAATGTTACAATATAAATATATTTTAAACTAAACTTGTGGTTAATTCTCAGTAAAAATAATAAATTATATTTTATTGAAGTTGAAATCACTGTCTGCTATGGAAGTTTTATCAACACCATAAAGAATTCCGTCTTGGATATTTAACTCCTTGGTTCTTTCCGTACAATTGTACATGATATTTATTTTGGTTATATCGAGTTTACTGAAACCATACCTTTGTCCCAGTCGGTACAGGTTCTTCATATCCTTTGGAATAATAGTCATTCCGGCTTCACCGCTTTTTCTTCCAAATATACTAAAGGCATATGGATCGTAATGCATAACTGAATCGTAGTCGTAGGGAAGGTCGTACGTTACGCTGTCAGTAGTTTTAAAATAACTAATTCGACTTGATTTTATCATAGACCAGTTAATGGTGACATAATCATCTCTATCGTACCTATTATGTTCATGATTAAATCCAACAGTATGCATTAGTTCGTGTATAATATATCCAATTTTATGAAAACAGTGGCTACCAAAGTTTAGAAGGTTAATACCCCCATCAGGATCTTTGCCAACATTAGAGTAACAAGAAGAATAAATATTGTCAATTTTCACATAAATGACCTCAGTTGTTCTAGGTAGGAAATTAATGCAGGTGTATTGTCTGTAGAGATCCATGACTTGTTGTAAGATTGTATGCTCCTTCTTTGTAAAATCGGCTGTTATTTCATATGGTACAATTCCATTATCCCATAGCAACGCAGACTCCAGTGAATCATTTCTTAACTTATGGTTTAATTTGGCTTTTCCTTCATATTGGTTTTCAAATTCCTCATATGTAATAGGATGTATTTTACCTTTGAAAATGTGGATTTCAGAGTTATTTAACAGCACGCCGTTAACACTGCTGACACATAATATAACTAAAGGTAATATATTATACATACTTAAGTTGTAATATATTTAAGGCATTTAATTAAAAAAAAAAGTTATAGCATCGTTTTTACATATCTCGGGTTTTAAAACAAAATAATTGATTCTTAAGTAGTAATAAAATTATTTACAGTATTGTAATTTTTCTACAAAACAATACAATCAGGTTATGATTACGATTAAATTTGCGTAATCCTAAAATCACATAAAGTACTATTTAGTTTTGCGTGGCTCACACATCGCTGTCGAATAAATAATTAAAATCTAATCTAATTATAAAATGAAATTCCGTATTTGATTGCATTATTCAAAATAAGAGATGGAAACCTCTTACAGTCCAACCAACCAGGCAGGTTGGATGGCCTTGAAAGTCTCAGATTGGTAATCTATATTGGGGAAAACTTTAACTACCGTGATATGTGAAGGATAAAAGAGCTGCAATAACGGATAGATGCAATATAGCTACAGTTCACCAAAAATAGTCGAAAGTCTGAAAATAACCACGCCCATGATGCGCATTCGTCATCCGACGGATCTCGCACTGAGCGTCCACTTAATATCTACCGTTTGTGACGTGAACAAGTCGGTACAGTCTGCGAAACATTTTTTGTAAGTACGAACCGCAAAGGAGAGTCATTTCCAAATTTGCAAATCTGTGTTGTGTACCTATATTAAACATGGAGTTTAAATCGAATCTGAAGGGAAAAGTTTTAAATAATCAGACACGGGAAGTGATAGCAAATGTGATTCATTTTATGAGAAAGGAAGCCAAAGACAATAAACCGTGTAGAGATTTGAAAAAAGTGCAGGAGCGTGTGGTATTGGCAACAAGTGTTAGTTTAAGCAGTGTTTCAAAAATTGCTCGGGAAATGCAATTAATTGAAGACGGCGAATGTTCCTCATTTGTAACATCAAAACAAAAAGAGGAAAAAAAGCGCTTCAAAAACGTGCTTGGGCGATTTTGATATAGGTCGTCTTCGACATTAACTAATTGATTTTTGTATAACACAAAAACAAGTGCCAACTGTGAAACGCATACACAGAACATTTGCAGAGGAGTACAACTACTCAGGTTACCATAGAAAGCCTACGAACAGTAATTAGAAAGATGGGATTTCGTTGGCGAAAAACCAGAACTGATAGAAAAATTAATAATTGGGAAAAAGCCCAATATTCAACATCCTTTAGACTAAATTTCTTGCGTAGTATGAAACGTTACAGTCGCCCAATTATATACATGGAAAAAACATATGGCCTTAAGAATATTGAGACTGCGGCCTTACCAATGCGAACTGAACCCGAATGAGATGGTGTGAAGTCAATAGAAAAGGTTTGTGGCTTCAAACAACATCGATTTTAAAGAAAAACCGGTAAAAACGGTTGATAAATGAAGCTTACCAAGCGTATCTAAAGGGCAGTGGCATAATTATGTTGAACACACGTCAAGAAAGTAGAAGAAAAAATGTTCAGGAAGATATTGACCCAGCGATAATTTAATATAGGACATGATTCAGGTGGATGAGGACGATTTAGATATAGATTGCGATTAGTATTAATTAACAAGAGAATATCGCAGACTTAATGCTCATTGGCATTTTTAGTACTGTACGTACAGTACATTTCAGTTAGGATCTTCTTGTATATTTTATGTATATATGTATGTAAGTACGAGGTATTAGATAATTTTATGTATAACAGGTATTTTTTGTTTACTCTTTTATTTAACTCAGTTAAATTAATGAGTATAAGATTTTTTAAATGAAGCGCGTATTGGTCCTCATTTTCTCAGTCTATCGCCAAATTACCACACCACCTAGAGTCCGACAAACTTAAGTTTGGGAATGTGACGTAGTGTTTCGCGCAGACAGGCGGACCGTTTCTACCAGTGGCGGACGGAAACCGGTAGCTTTAAAATAAATTTTTATAAGTACCTATATTCAATTAACGTGAGAATGAATTTGTTAATTTTTATTTTTATAGTATTAACTATTTATGAAGTTTATAGTCCAATTGTAAGTATTGAGGAACAAATTCCCCAATACTTACAATTTATTAACATTGCCAGGAAGGCAGGAAGGGTTTCAACAACACTAAAAGATAATAGTAACTTATTTTAAATAATAACATAATGTATTTATTTTCTAAACAGTAATGATTGTAAAGATTTCTATGTTTTGTTATATGACAAAGGAATATCACACAAAAAAAACGTCTATTCCGGAATTTTAATCGCTATCTTCATTATCAGAAAGGCTTCTTCTCTTCGGAATGAACCAGTATTAATAAAACATTTTAAGTAGGTTCAGCAGTAGAGTCTAATAAATGTTCACATTTTTATGTTAAATGTTGTATTATGAGTGACCACTCCGGATGATAGGGAGGCAAGTGTAGTACTTTATGTCTATGTTGTTCAAGCTTATAATCTAATACATAAACTGGTGGCAAACGTGGTTTATTGGCTTGTATAATTTTATATAATTCCGGTTAAATTGGTTTCTTTAAAGATTTTCCACTTTGATCTACCCAGTGGTATCGTATAGAGTATGGCTGCTGTGTATATATGTTTCGTCGGTATAAACTATGGTTCTACCCTCAGATCGAAATTGAATTAGCTTCTTTAAATATTCTATTCATTTTAAACGAATTTCATATTTTTCCATTAGGACAGTCCTATTGTCTTCGGTTTTTCTCCACCTGTAATTGGTTCAAGATAATTTGAAGAATATATTTTCAAACGTATGATGGTTCAAATTTCAAATGTATCACAACATACAGAAGTTAGAACAATTCATTTGTTTATATTTGTTTATATTTATTAAAATATAGAGTTGGAACATGCGGTGCTATTGAGTCCCTGATTAGAATTTTGGAACGCTCTTCAGGGCTTGTGGTTGATGTGTACGTTTTGTTACGCAAAAAAGGCTATTCTAGAGTTTTTGTGGTTTGTTGAAGTGCATTATATGGTAGGACTGGTTGGGATGATTTTCTGAATCGGTAAGAAGGAGATTCTGACTGTTTTTCAGATGCGAAAGCGTGGCTTTTCCAGTTTGAATTGAAAACCCTGTACTACAAAAACTTTTTGGAAGGGATTTTTGTATTATTAGAAGTTGCTTAAGAAATAGTTGCGGATATTTCTTCGGGGCGGATATTGTTGTGCAATGAGATTGGGAAACCGCAAAAAAAAACTAATCTCGGCCTATCCATGCTTTGGAAATTAGGATTAGTTTGTGGGGGTGCGGTATGCCAACAGGAGGCGACCTGCGTACTCGTCCGGAAGTTTTTCGAAGAAGGTTTATATTAGAAGTTTTTTGAAGGGTATGGAGATATGGCCATGTTTTTCACCCGTACAACTCGGTCACTCAGATAAGATTTTACAATTTTTACAAACTTTAAGGTAGCAATTTCGTCCATAGTTATGTTAGGTCCTGTCACAACTTCTTTAATTTCAAGATCGATCCTGTCATCATTAAACAGTTGCTCAATGTACTCTTTTCATCTATCTATTTTATCTATTTTAAGCTTTGCATCGGGATGTGGGTCACGACTAAACACTAAAAATTTGGTTTTGTTTAAGTTTATTTTAATGCCCATTTCCTCTCCTACCTCGTGAATACGATCAAGCAGAATTTGAAGACCTTCAATATTATCTGATAGAATTACTGTATCGTCTGCATATCGAATCACATTAAGTAGTTCCCCGTTGATTTTTATTCCATATGGTTGTCTCTCAAGTGCCTTTTTAAATAACTGGCCCGAGTAAACATTGAACAATGTTGGCGACAAAATGCAACCTTGTCTGACTTCTCGTTGTATGGGGATTTCATCGGTGTAGTTATCTCCAATTTTTACGATAGCAGTTTGATTCCAGTACAAATTTTTAATGACACGAATATCCTTGTCATCTATTCCGATATTTTTTCAGTATTTGCATTAATTTTACATGCTGTACTTTATCGAATGCCTTTTCGAAGTCCACGAAACATGCAAATACATATTTTCTTTGGTCACGGCATTTTTGTAATAGGATGTTTAGCGCAAAAAGTGCCTCCCTGGTTCCCATAGCATTTCTAAAACCAAATTGGGTATCTTCAAGATCTTCTTCGCATTTGCGTCTAATTCTGTTGTGAAGTATTCTGAGGAAAATTTTAAGAGTGTGGCTCATTAGGCTAATTAATCGATATTCTGACATTTCCGGTGTTATCATATATTTGAATTAAAAAGTCTTACTATTACTTTTATGTTATCATTCTCTATTAGTTTCAGCAACTCAGTTGGTGTATCATCTGGACCACAAGCTTTTCTAATTTTAGCATTGTTTATAGCATGTTCTACTTCGCATTTCATAATTTCTAGACTGTCAGTACAGTTTTGGTAGAATTCGACAATATTATTCCTGTCATCTTCAAACAACTCTGATATATACAGCTGCCATTCTTTTCTTATTTCTTGCTCATTTACAATAATTTTGTTATTAGTGTCAACAAGTACAGAGGAAATCGTTTTTTTAAATATGTTACTCATTTCTTTCAATTTTTTGTGCACATTAAATAAGTCGTGTTTAGATATTACATCCTCCATTTCGTCGCACCTTTCTCTCATTCATTTTTCTTTGGCTAATTTGATCTCCTTTCTCATTTCTCTAGGTGTCTATATTCTGTTACATTAGATTTTATCAGTCGACGTTGTTCCATTAATTTCAACATGTCGTCCGTCATCCAGTTATTTTTTCTTGATTAAGTTTTTTCTATAATCATTGTTTGTGGAAATTTCGTTAACTTGGTTTTTTAAATTCACTCCATAGTTCTTCTGGATCTTCTAGTTGTTCCCCGATGTTTTTTATTCTATTGTTAAATTATTTTTTAATGTTATGTTTGATGTTTATATCGTCAAAGTTAAGTACATTGGTTTTTGGTTTTTGCCGCTGAATTCGTTTTAACCTTAGTATAATATCTGCTACGAGTGGTTGATGATCAGATCCAATATCTGCCCCAGGATATGTAGTGACTTTTTTG